AAAACACGGTGAAAATTAATCTTGAGCAAATGAAAATCCTAGAAGCATAAGAAAAAGAGAGGATACATTTTGAAATACAACACACTGTAATTCTTTTTAATTTACTGATACTTTCCTGCAAGCTTTCGTGTCGTTAGTGACCAAACTTAAACAACTTACTTTATTATTGATATATATTTTTTGTGTTGTATTATTTATATTATTTTATTTAAAATAAAATAAAAAACTTACAATATAAAAGACTAGAATCCTTAACCTCCTTTTTAAAAGCTAACCAATATATTCAGTAATTATGTTATGTAATTGATAATTTATTATAATAAATATTAATAATATTTAAAAAATTATATATAATACATAAGTTTGTGAGTTTTTGTCAACTCAATTTCAAATAGATTTAAAATATAAGTATAATAGTATAAATTTAAAAAAAAATTATAATAAACACATCATAAATTACAACACTATATAATTTTAAAATAAGTTTTTTGTTTTTTTTATTGAGTGTAAATAGCAACTTATAACAATCGGCATAAATTCAAAAATACTTTGTTAATTAAATTAACAAACCTTGTAGACGACCATGATAATCTTAGAAAATTCTGTAAAATAAAACTTTTAGAAAACTAAAGTTCTCAAATAGAATTTAGACACCTCTAAAATTTCAAACAATTTTAAATTCAAGAAATATAACTACTCTTATTTATATATATATATATATATATATATATATAAATATATATATATATATATATATATATATATATATATATATATATATATATATATATATATATATATATATATATATATATATATATATATATATATATATATATATATATATATATATATTGGAGCACAAGGAAGATAAAAGGTAAAAGGAATATTTATTGATGGCTTCTAAAATAAGGATTTACAATGAGTTACAATAACTTACTCCACTAGGCTATTTATACACACAAATTAAATCTAAAATATATCTTCTACAAAGATATAAGAAGATCTAAGATTTATATTTTCTAACAAAGATATAAACAATCTAAAAGATATTCCTAAATATAAATTAATATCTAATTAAATCTAAATTAATTCTAACACCATCCCTTAATTTATATTTACCCAAAACTGACAACACCAATTTCATCCCTTAAACCAAGAAATTGATCAGTTTTGATAGCATTTGTCAGAATATCTGTCAGCTGCTTCTGAGTGCTACAGTGCACAACCTCTATTATTCCATTCTGAACTTGATTCTTCAGAAAATGATACTTGGTCTCAATATGCTTGCTTCTCCCATGAAACACTGGATTCTTGGAAAGATTGATTGCAGACTTGTTATCAATCATCAGCTTCAGAGGTTTATTCACCTCAATCTTCAGATCTTTCAGCAAGTTCAAAATCCACACAGCTTGACATGCAGTCAGAGCACCTGCAATATATTCAGCTTCACATGTTGACAGAGCAACAACAGGTTGCTTCTTGGAACACCAAGAAATAGGACCTCCCAGAAATTTGAATAAGTACCCAGAAGTACTTATTCTGTCAACTTTATCTCTGCACCAATCAGAATCAGAATAACTCAGAATCTCTGATTCGATCTTTCTTCCAGACGAAAATAACACTCCATATTTCAGAGTTCCCTTCACATACCTCAAAATCCTGACTGCAGCTTGGTAATGGGACCACTTTGGTTTGCTCATAAATTTGTTAACCATTCCAACTGCATAGCAAATATCAGGTCTGATATTACACAAATATCTTAGAGAACCAACCATCTATTTGAAGGTTGTAGCATCCACATCCTCTCCACCAGAATCAAAATCCAACTTCTGATTCGTATCAGCAGGTGTGATAGCAACCTTGCAATTTTCTAGCTCAAATCTCTTCAAAAGCTCTAGTTCATACTTCATCTGATGTAAAATGATTCCTCTATCAGAGTATATAAATTCCATCCCTAGAAAGAAACTCATTTTTCCAAGATCTGTCATCTCAAACGCATTCATCAGAACTTTCTTGAACTCAGGTATCTCTTGTTCAGAACTTCCTGTGAGTAATATGTCATCAACATACAAACAGACCAGAATCATATTATCTTCTGAAGTGTGCTGAACATAAACACCATACTCAATCTCACACTTCTAAAACCCTTGTTCCTTGAAAAATGAATCAATCTTCAAATTCCAAGCTCTGGGCGCTTGCTTCAATCCATACAATTCTTTGTGTAATTTGAACACCATCCCTTCCTGATTCTTTTTCTCAAATTCAGGAGGTTGCGAAACGTACACCTCTTCTTGTAATGGACCATTCAGAAATACAGATTTTACATCTAAATGCATCAGAGGCCAATTCCTGTTAGCAGCTATTGCAGTCACTAGTCTGATTGTTTCATGTCTCGCTACAGGTGCAAACACTTCAAATTAATCCAGCCCAGGCTTCTGTAGGAAGCCTCTTATTACTAATCTCGCTTTGTGTTTGCCAATTGATCCATCTGGATTTAGTTTCTGCTTGAAAACTCATCTGACGCTGATGGCTTTCTTGCCTTTTGGAAGTTCTGTCAGCTTCCAAGTCTTGTTTCTCTCTATAGCATCAAGTTCTTCTTTCATGCCCTGTAACCAAACTTGCTGCTTAAGAGCCTCTTCTTTACTCACGGGTTCAAAGTCTACTAACATTGCACACTGAATAACTTTTCCTTCAGAGTTTACTTCAATGTCTAGCAACATGTCAAACTCTGCAAATCTTTTTGGGATGCTTCTGACTCTTTGTTGCCTCTGAACTGGACCTTCAGAACTTTGGACACCAGAACTTTCCCCTTTAGAAGCACTTGCTTCAGCAATTGGACTTTCTCCAGAACTTTGACTGTCTTCATAGTCTTGAAAATTCCCAGGGTCTGAATCATCATCAGAGTCATAGCCACTACCTCCAGAAATACCATCTTCAAAAGTTGGATCACCTCTGCCTTCAGAAGTTCCACTTTCATAATCATGATCATCTTTAGAAGCTTGTCCTCCAGAACCTACGTCTTTAGAGTTTTCCCTTCTAGAAGCATGATCACCACCAAATTCTGAATCATCATCAAAATCTGGATCAGAATCAGATTCACCATCTGACTCACCTTCAGAGTTTCCAGAGACATCATCTTCTGAATCTTCTTCAGAAGCAGCATCTTCTTCAGACTCAGAATCACCTTCAGATTCTGACTTGTCTTCAGCTTCAGAGTTATCTTCTGACTCTAACTCGTCTTCAGAAATCTCAGATTCTGACTCATCTTCAAAATCTTCAAAGTCGTTATCTGATTCTAACTCAGAGTCATATTCTGATTCTGACTCATACAAAATCACTCCTTCAGAGTCAGAATATTCAGAGTCATATTCTTTTTTCCCTTCAGAATCAGAAATTAACAATTTCACTGGTTCCTCATCAGATTCATAAGCCATAAATAGCACAGGTTCATCATCTGAATCTCCTCTGGCTACGTTTGCTTCTTCAGGCTTCCTTTCTTTGTTGGACCAACAATCTCTGGCATAGTGACCAAAGTTCTTGCAATAGTAACACTGAACATTCTTCTTGTCAGACTTCTCCTTTTCCTCCTGGACATTCTTCTTCCTATCAGAATTTGAAGCTTCTGACTTTTGACCACCATTAGTTCTCTTCCTGGCTTCTGACCAAGTATGCTTCTTACCAGAAGTTACTTTCAGAGCCTGCTGCTCTACTTCCCTCTCAGAAGTTCTTGCAGTCATACGCAACTCATGCGCCTCTAGACTACTTTGCAGCTCTTCAACTCTCATGGTGTCCAGATCTTTGGAATGTTCAATTGCTACAACAATGTAATCAAACTGAGAAGTTAAAGATCTCAAGATCTTATCAATAATTACTTGTTCAGACAGAGTTTCTCCACAAGCTTTCATCTCATTAGTAATCAGAATCACTCTAGAGATGTATTCAGAAACTTTCTTGTTGTCCTTCATGTTGAGATTCTCATATTGTTTTCTGAGAGACTGAAGCTTCACCTTCTTCATTGATGTGTCACCACCGTAACATCTGACCAGTGTGTCCCACGCAGCCTTTGCTGTTTCAGAATCAACAATCTTCTCAAACACATTCACATCAACACATTGATGGATGTAGAACAACGCTTTCTGATCTTTCTTCCTCAGCACCTTCTGTGCTATCTTCTGGTCCTCTGTTGCATCTGCTTCTAACAGATTATAGTCATCAGTAACAAGTTCTAACACATCTTGAGAACCAAATAACACGCGCATCTGGATCTTCCAACGATTCCAGTTTTTGCCATCAAATACTGGAAGCTAGGAATGAATATCGCCGTTTCCGTTCATCTTCTACCTTGTGCAATTTACGCAGAAACTCAATGAAAAATCAATATTTCCCAAATTCCAGAGTTTCTAACCAGGAGCTCTAGATACCAATTGTTGGAGCACAAGGAAGATAAAAGGCAAAAGGAATATTTACTGATAGTTTCTAAAATAAGGATTTACAATGAATTACAATAACCTATCACACTAGACTATTTATACACACAAATTAAATTTAAAATATATCTTCTACAAAGATATAAGAAGATCTAAGATTTATATTTTCTAACAAAGATATGAACAATCTAAAAAATATTCCTAAATATAAATTAATATCTAATTAAATCTATATATATTTCAAAAACTAAATTAAGTAAAATATAACTTATAATTATTGTGTTAACATATTTTAAAAATGTATAAATTCAATCTAAATTAATCTATATATTTTTAATCAAATTTAACATCAATGTTTTTCAAAACTGAACCAAACCAAGTTACAAACACCCATATATTCTTAACAAGTGGTATATAAAATAACTAAGTATAAAAAAAATAGCAACTGATGAGAAATGAAAGGGGTTACAATATTAGATCCCCAACAAGTAAAATTTAAGTCTATCTATTCCTATAACAGCAACACCATATAATAAGTGAACATGAGACATTCTCCACAAATGAGTGTTTTTAACCAACAAGGAAATCAGGCAGAGTAAACACAAAATGTTGGGTAGATTCATCATCAACAGGAATAAAGAAAATATAAACATGTGACCCATCTTGGATTCCACAATTAACAAGAGATTCCTTTTCATCATCTTTCGTAATCAACGGCCAACAAATATCATCAAGAATAATGATCAAACGGTCACAAGGGAGTTTCATTTGTGCTTCAATTTCTCTTTTTAGATCTTCAACCGTGCCATCATTCTCTACTTCGACATAGAATAATGTTCCTGTTAGATTCTCTACAACAACCTTCATGGTATCGAACAACAATAACTAGTGATTTCGATTTAGTAGTTTTCATTTTTACAATGTTTTGGTTTGAAACTAAAAAGGAATGATAATGAATTTTAGATTTGGAGTTGCACACAAATGGTGAAGGGTGTTGTTCTGTTCATGTGGGCTGCATTCTCGGGAGTTAGTTTGTGTGTATTGAATTGAATGCGTATACTAAATTTAGTATTACTAAAATTCTTTATAATTATTATTAGCCTTTAATTTTTTAAGTCTTAGACGTACAATGGACTTTTTCTTGAAATAAGTTTGAATATGCTTTTCTCTTCTTTTTAATTCATCTATAAAAAAATCTAGTTCATCCACTAGATAAAAAAGCTAGTTAATTGATCCCATGAAAGCCATTTGGTTATATATAAGGATGGATTCAATCAACTCAACCTATTTTAAAGATCTAATAAATAATTTTTATTATATAATTTTAAATGTAATATATTATTTTTATAATAAAATGATGAAAAACTTATTTATATTGTTATAAAAGATACATAAATATGATACAATTGGTATTTTTATTTTTTTAAGAGATGTTTTATTTTTGAATTAAAATAAATCATTTCTATCTCTCTTTCTCTCTGGTATCCTAACACGACACAACAATCATATTATTTTATTATTCATCAATTATGAATTTGAATTTGAACTCTTCATAATCCATAAGAGTGTAGGTATAAAGTTGAATCCAAACTTCTATCATCAAGATTGAAAAAGTAATAGCCGAGATAATTTCAAACACTTAAACAACATTTATATTTGGAATTAGTAGGACATCCGTCCGCACGGGTATATATATATATATATATATATATATATATATATATATATATATATATATATATATATATATATATATATATATATATATATATATATATATATATATATATATATATATATATATATATATATATATATATATATATATATATATATATATATATATATATATATATATATATATATATATATATTGAGAGAGTTATTAGAAGCATCAATACATAGTATAAGATTAGACACCTTTGTGAAAGATACGGCACTTATCCACTTAAAATTTTAAGGTGATAGGTGAATGGGTTTTCTCACTTATATATGCTTAAGTCTCCACATTCATATTCAATGTGAGACTATTTCTCCACTTACTCACACTTGTTATATTATTCTAACATTTTTTTTAAAGACAAAAGAAATATATTAAACAACGGCTACAAAATAAGGAGTAATGGATAGATTGACCTACCTACTACTATGTTATTTATACACAAATATTATGATATAATAAAATATTAAAATACCCTCTAACAGACTTAGTCAACAAGACATTCCTAAAATATAAATTATTTCCAACATCATCTCTTAATTTATATTTACACAAAACTGGCAACACTAATTTTATCCCTCAAACGAATAAATTGATTAGTCTTGATAGCCTTTGTTAGAACGTCTTCCAGCTACTTCTGGGTGCTACAATGCACAACTTCTAATATTTCGCTCTGATACCATGTTGGGGGAGTTACTAGGAGCATCGATACATAATGTAGGACTAAGCACCTTTGTGAGAGACACACCACTTATCCACCTAAAACTTTAAGGTGATAGGTGAGTGGATTCTCTCACTTATATATGTTTAAGTCTCCACATTCATATCTAATGTGAGACTATTTCCTTACTTACTCACACTTGCTATATTATTTCAACACTACCCCTCAAGTATGAGTCCACAATGTTCCCCCACTTGTACCATCATTGACATCTTGCAACAAGACACCACTTCCTGAGCGTATTTCGATACAAGTCTCTTCTGGTCTCTTTCTCGAACCAAATGCTCGGGTGGCTCTCTCACTTATATATGCTTAAGTCTCCACATTCCTATCCATTATGGAATTATCTCCCCACTTACTCACACTTGCTATATTATTTCAACACTCCCCCTCAAGTGTGAGTCCACAATGCTCCCCGCTTATACTGTCGTTGACATCTTGCAACAGAACACCACTTCCTGGATATTTTTCGATACAAGTCCCTTGCAGTCTCTTTCTCGAACCAAAGGCTCTGATCTCACTGTTAGGGGAGTTACTAGGAGCATCGATACATAGTATAGGACTAGGCACCTTTGTGAGAGACACACCACTTATCTACCTAAAACCTTAAGGTGATAGGTGAGTGGGTTATTCCACTTATATATGCTTAAGTCTCCACATTCATATTCAATGTGAGACTATTTCCCCACTTACTCACACTTGCTATATTATTCTAACAATGTGGACTGCGGAAATGTCATCAGTTTGTCATAAAAATTATAATAAATTAAAAAATACTAAAATATTACTAAAAAAAAAAAATGAAAAATAGATCGAAAGATAATTGTATAAATATTTTAAAAATAATTATTATTAAGAAAAACAATTAAACACATATTTTGTAAAAAATAATTGTAAAAAATAAAAATAAATTTTTTTATTAAGGTTGATAGGGTTGTAATAATAAAAGGGTTTATAAAGTTTAATAAATGAAACAAATAAATATTCAAAATTAGAAATAGTTGAAAATTAGTAGAATAATAATTTTACATGAAAGTCCACATTGGAACTTTTTTTTTAGCAATAAGCATGTTTTGAAAAAAAAATACACAAATAACTATGTTTCGGAGAAATTTACATAAATGACCATATTTCAGAAAATATTATAATGCAGTAGTCATCTAGATGGAGCATGTATTGATTTTTTAAAGGAGACGTCAAATGAGATGACACCTAGCCATTTCTTAAAAAAAATTCTTTTTACCTGCGGATTTTTCTGCAGATTTGACTTTTTCCGCGGATTTAATTGCAGATTTACATGCGGACTATTTTCCTACGGGTAATTTTGTAGGAAAATTCACGGGTAAGTCCACAGGTAATATCAAATCTGCAGGAAAACCCACAGGTAATTGAAAAAGTTTGAAAAATATATAGGAGGCGCCAATTCAAGTGGCGCTCCTCTTTAATTCATTTTTTTTAGAAATATAACTATTTGTGTAATTTTTTTTTAAACATGATTATTTGAGTTTTTTTTAAATCATAATTATTACTAAAAAAAAACATTCGCTACATTGCCACTCAATCACCGTCTTAGAATTCATGTGTTACTTGAGAGACAAGAGTAAAAGGTACACATAGTCATGAAGCATTAAGCCATATAACCTACATAGTCTATGAAGAAAGGCTTAAAACCTACCTTTTGGTCATTACTTCATTGTACTTCTCTGTAATTTGGAGAAGACTACTGCTTATATATGGTCAAATATGTGCTTCAAACTGATTAAATGTCACATATTACTTGATTTTTTATTGAGTCAATTAGCCATGCACACATAAAAGTAAAAAGCAAGTAAACTGAAGATGGTCAATGATGAACTTTATAGTTAGAGATTTTAGTATTCCTAACAATGTTATAATCATACTATAATTATGATCTATATGTTTGCAAATAAGAGATAAAATAGTGTAAAGAGATAAAAGAGATAATGGTTTGAAAAGTCTACAAATAGGTCTTGAGTTTGCAAATAAATGAGATAATGCTATTTTTTTTACTCATATGTCACCTAACTATAATTAAAATAGATAATGAATTAACCTATCTTTTGGCCTCTTTTCAAATAGGTTTGTGGCATGTGTGAACAAAATTTAATAAGAAAGCACTGAGGTGTTGGTGCACAAAGAAGAGATGAAAGACAAAAGAAATGTATTAAATAAAATATTAAAATAGGTTTGTGGCATGTGTGAATAAAATATATTGACCTGCCTACTACTAGGCTATTTATATACAATATTAGGGTATAATAAAATATTAAAATATCCTCTAACAGACTTAGTCAACAAGATATTCCTAAAATATAAATTATTTTCAACACCATCCCTTAATTTCTATTTACACAAAACTGACAATACCAATTCCATCCCTCAAATGAAGAAATTGATCAGCTTCAATAGCCTTTGTTAGAAGTCTGTTAGCTACTTCTGGATGCTACATTGCACAACTTATAATATTCCACTCTGAACCTGATTCCTTATAAAGTGATATTTGGTCTCAATATGCTTGCTTCTCCCATGCAGGACTGAGTTCTTGACAAGATTGATTGCAGACTTATTATTAATCGTCAACTTTGTGACCTTTTAGTTTTAGTATCATTTGTACAAGTATCATTTATACAAGAATCATTTGTATGGTTAGTTTCTTCGCTAGTAGATGGAGAATTCGACAATGTCGACATATATGTTCACAAACAACAACAAAAACAACAAAAATAACAACAACATCCAGAACATAAACAACAACAGCAAGCTTTTTCATCAACAATAACAATATTCATAATAATGGCAAATGAAGTATACTGTAGATGCATGGGTAAAAAGTTTTACGTACCGTAAACGTACATGATGATTAAGTAAAGGAGAATATTGTGTTGGTGTTGGTGTTGGTGTTGTATTCCTTCCCGATGATGACGATGGTATCGATATTGTCTTCCTTCCTGACGATGACGATGGTGTTCGTGTTGTCAACCTTCTCGACAATGACGATTGTGTTCGTGTTTTCAACCTCCTCGACGAAAATGACCAGTAAAGAGTGATAGTATCCAAGTATTGAAAGAAAAATGAACGATAAACAATATTGAACAATTGTGTTAGGGTTGACAGTATTGTTTCACAGTATTGAAGGTTAGGATTGTTTCATATTGTTTCTTTTTTTATTGAAAATATGGATACTGAAGAGACAAGCTAGCTAGAAGTGTATAATATTTAAAAAGATACCGCCATGGTCCAAACTCTAAACTGTAATGATATGTTATTTGCATAATGAAATTTCATAAAGAAGCGTCAACGTTTAGCCATTTAAAAATTTTTAATAAAAAATATATATCACAACAGTTGAACTATCCAACCTTTGTGCTATTCCTTTTATTTTTTATTTAAAAATAAATAAAAAAT